GGGCTTTCCCGGCTGTGGGGTCCATCAGGGGCCTGGGGTGGCCCTGGATCCGGCTGGGAGGCAAGCTCTCTACACGCCATATGCCAGGATCATGGGTGAGTCCAGCGACACCCAGTGGCATTGGAGCAGGAAGGGGGCAGAGCTGAGGGAGTGAACCTGGGGTCTGAACATGGGAAGGGGATAAACATTACCCAGTGGTGTGCACATCTGGAGGAAGTGTGAGCTGATGGTCCTGGGACCTGGTGTGGGCACTTAAAGGTGAAGCATAAACCGACGCTTGGCTTTGTCTTGGAGGCCGGATCTAGGAGACTGCAGTGGTGTTGCTTGGCAGGAAGGTTGGGGCCCTGCAGGCATCGCCCAGACCTTAAATGGCATTGCTCTCTACCCTCCCCTCCCCCAATCCTTCCCCCAACCCAGCTGCTCTGCTGAGGGCCATCACAGTGAGTAATGGGACTGTGATGTGAGAGCAGCCTGCACTGGCATTAGGGCCTGGAGTCCACACTAACCGGGTGCCCTGGAGGAGGTTGAGGGGTGGGGGAAGATGTGTAAGGAGTAGAATTACTGGTTCTCAGAAAGGCAGCTTTTGCCCTAACCAGTTTGGCTCAGCGGATAGAGCCTCGGCCTGCGGACTCAAGGGTCCCAGGTTGGATTCCGGTCAAGGGCATGTACCTTGGTTGTGGGCACATCCCCAGTTAGGGGGTGTACAGGAGGCAGCTGATCGATGTTTCTAACTCTATCCCTCTCCCTTCCTCTCTGTAAAAAATCAGTAAAATATTTTTAAAAAGAAGAAGAAGAAGAAGAAGAAAGGCAGCTTCGGTTTTGTCTCCGTTCTGACAGGTTGGCGTGACCTTTGAGGACATTGCCCTGTACTTCTCCAGGGAGGAATGGAGCCTCCTTGATGATGGTCAGAGACAGCTGTACCTGAATGTGATGCTGGAGAACTTTGAACTTCTATCCTCCCTGGGTAAGACCCTCACTCTCACAGTGACCTGGACTTGGCTTTGCGATTTCCTAGGCCCCATCTCCCAGGGCAAGCATGTCAAACTCAAAGGCTAACATGGTCTAAGTAGGCAAGGTTTAAGTTTATGTGGGCCGCAAAAAAACAAAAGATACATTTTTCATAGAAGTATAGGTTTATTTTGATAGACACATGCTGAATACAAAGGCTGAAATTAATGAGTAATCTTTAACATAAAATATTAGAACATTTCTATAAAAATTCATATTTTTTCTTGAACATTAATTTATCACCGAATAACTGCCCAAATTAATAAGTGTAATGCAAATGAACCTATTTTTCTTATTCTCTGAAAGCGAAATATTTCCTGTTTTGCACACAAAACAAGTCAGTTCAAGGCTAATGAAATGGCAATAGGCTGCTAAAGTATTCGCTGCTAGTGTTAGTGGAGAGAAATGGTGCACCTGCATTTAAGGTGAGTAGAGAAATGAATGCAACACAATTAATCATTCATTAGCAAAGGTTCTAGTTCGTTAATAATAATTATGTATAACAGGATATTGTAAAAATTAAGTTACAAAATTTTTATTAAAATGTTTCTTACATACGGTTATATTGACTGGGTTCGCAAAAATATCCTTTGTGGGTTGCATGAGGACCGTGGGTCGAGTTTGACATGCTTGTCCTAGGGTTTGCTCTGTCCTCCCCTGTAGATGATGGTACTGCTTGATTTTTCCCGTTTTCTGGGTAGCTGCTGTCCTGGGGAGGGTTGGTCTGTTTCCATTGCTACCTTCTATTCCTGAAGTCCCAATACTCCCCGCTGTACTAAACTCACATGGAAGGACTTGTGGTTGGTAGTGTTGCTGGAAGCCTGAGGGTTTCCACCTCTTTGAGTGAGGAAAGCATTTTCTATATTCCTGTTGGTCATTTGTACCTATTTTTTGTAGAATTGTTTCTACATCCTTATCCTGCTTATTAACTATGTTTTTTGGTTAAAGAGTCTTTTGAATACCTTGTATATTTTATATATTAACTGGAGACCTGGTGCATGGATTCGTGCACCAGTGGGGTCCTTAGGCCTGGCCTGCGGACATCCCCTGAGGGGTCCCAGATTGTGAGAGGGCACAGGCCAGGCCGAGGGACCCCACCAGTGCACGATTGGGGCCAGGGAGGAACCGAGGATGGGCTCCAGGGCGTGTCCAGCCCATCTTGCCCAGTCCCGATCAGCCAGATCCCAGCAGCAAGCTAACCTACCAAACGGAGTGTCTGTCCCCTGGTGATTAGTAAACATCATAGTGACTGGTGGAAAAGTCAAATGAACAGTCGGATACTGAGCATATTAAGCTTTTATTATATAGGATTGCTTACTATATACAGGAACACATATTTTTGCATGCGCTTAATTGTGCTTTGCAGATATTGCTCCCCCACACCCCCTTCCTTATAAATTCCATCTTTTTGGCAACCCTGCGTTCAGCAGGTCTAGTGCCACCATGTTTCTAGCAAGCTCAGATGCTTGTTACTAGTGCTTAGCAGTGAAATATATTTTTTAAAACTTTACGATATGATATTTATTGAACATGTATAGGATTCACCTTTACAGTATTACAAATACTTTACAATAAAAAAAATTAGTTTTTGGTGTTTTTTAAAAAAAGGGCAGGGAGAACATTTCCTGGTTTTCTAGTCGTGCAGTTAAAAAAAAAAATAAAGTTTTAAAAATGAAGTTCATTCTTCAAGTATTAGAACACAATACTAATGGAATCACTTCAATAAATATTTTTGCATAAACATGTACATGACTACTCATACCATATCAGCTTCCACAGGAACAAATGAATGCACAAAATGAAGGTAATCCCCAACATAAGATGTATTTTTAAAAAGATAATATCCGAAGGACTTATATGCATGCATATAAGCATAACCAATGGACATAAGACACTGGGGGGTGGGAGGCCAGGGGATTGTCAAGGGCGGGGGGAAAAAGGAGACATATGTAGTACCCTTTGTAATACTTTAAGCAATAAAAAAAAAAAAAAAAAGATAATATCGAACTGAATGCCCCCGAAATGTGCATGGGATTTGGTCAGTGACTATCATCAAGAGGTGGACGTACACATTTGCAAATGCAGAGCTTGTAGCCTGTGTAAATTACAAAATCTACCAGCTGTGTCTAACGAAGTAGGAGCTAGAAACCACTTACACAACAGGTTAAACTTTAAGGTATGAAATATACTGTGAATACAGAGTGGGGGGAAAAGTAGGCTTAAAGTTACATATTCAAAAACTTAAGGAAACCTTTACTACATTTGTTTTCATCTTTGACATATATTGTTTGCTGATTGTATTATAAAATACTAGTAGAAAAAAAAAATTGGCGATAGCGCTCCCGGCGAAAGACAGGAAGAGCGCGATGGCGCTCCCCGGCACTCAAAGGGTTAATTATTATATTACTAGTGGCCCAGTGGACGAAAATTGTGTACTGGGAGGGGGGCGGGGGAGTCCCGCAGTCTGGCCTGTGCCCTGTCACAGTGCAGGAGCCCCGCAACATTGCCCTAAAGAGGTAGGCCCTCCCACCCATCCAGGGCTCCTAGATAGGTTGTCCCAAAGAGGTAGGCTGGAGCCAGGGGAGACCTGTGGATCCCGGGCTGAGTCACAGTGGGGGCCTGCGGACCCCAGGGTGTGGGTCCATGGCGGAGGCCTCCCTCTGTGCATGCGTGCCTAACCCCCGGTGCAGGCACACGGAGATGGGAGCCTCTGCCGCGGCCCTGCCCCCCGCCCCCCTGATGCTGCAAGGCCTTGCACACCCGCTCCTGCTGTGCACACAGCCTGCTGATTGGTTGTTACTATGATGGTGTCCCAGCCAATTTGTATATTACCCTATTATTAGATAGATTTTCCAAATGTACAACTGTAAACCTATTTTTGCCCCACCCTGCATATTTTCTTATGAAAAGTCATACATGGAAGGGAATAATAAGGCCTTCTTTCCAGGGCAGTCTTTTGGTTTTTTAAAAAATATATTTTTATTGACTTCAGAGAGGAAGAGGGAGAGAGAGAGAGATAGAAACATCAATGACGAGAGAGAATCATTGATTGGCTGCCTCCTGCCCACCCCACACTGGGGATCGAGCCCACGATCCAGGCTTGTGCCCTTGGCCAGAATCTAACCTGGGACCCTTCAGTCCCATTGTATCCACTGAGCCAAACTGGCTAGGGCTATCCAGAGCAGTCTTAAAGCAGGGTTCATATAGGCATATTTCATCCTTTATGTTTTTGGATTTCATATTCTTCAACATCTCAGCTCTTACAATTATGCATAGTACCTAAGCCAATGTAGAAAGAGCAACATAACGCAATTCCAGCTATAGTACCTGATTATAATCACAGGACCTACCATCTAGGAGAACTGACAGAGTATATTTCTGAACTGCCCCAGTTAAAGACTTGTCAAAATAAAGTACAACCCCATCTTGTGAGCCCAGTGTCTTGGGGGTGTTATCATATGTCCTGGAGGCCTAATTCTTCAGAGTAGGTCTTCAGTGAAGTATTGAACGATACTGCCAGCCTGAGCTTGCAAAGAGGTCATTATCGTGGAAATCTTAAAGTCTGAAATGACGTCTGGATGCTTTTCATTTATTGAATCTCATTGCTACCTTTTCAGTGGTGTTGAAGGCTCTGTAGACAAGGAACTAATGTGGATTAGTATTTGTAATCTGACAAAGTCTTGACCAAGATTCTTCAGGTATCTACGAGCTTCCAGTCAAAGCAATGAAGTATTTTTAATGAAGTCATATTGAGCTTGCTTTTGAGACAGAGTTATTGCATTGTTATTAGCCTGCAGTATAGTATTAACATACCTTTATTATTCACTGGGAATTTCATCTTTTTGTGTGAATTTCTGTCTTTATCGCAGTATTCGCTTTATTGTGCTGAGCAAAACCAAATCCACAATATCTCCAAGCGATTTCTTCATATGATTTGCCAGTATTTTCTCCCATCCTCTAGATTGCCTTTCATTTCATTTTGTTTATTGCTGTTGTGCTGTGAAGAAGCTTTTTTTCTTTATTTGTTGCATCTGGACTGTTTGTTTTCTCTATTTTGTCTGGTGGTCAGTGTCACATTCAGGAAATCCTGTCCAAAACAAACCTCCAAAACTTTTTCTCTAGGTTGTCTTGAAGGACTTTTAAGTTGTAGCGCTGACATTTCATTCTGTCACGCATGTTGTGTTAAATTTTATCAGTGATGTCCAGTTTTGTTGTTTTACTTGTGAATATTGATTTTTAGCAGCACCATTCATTGACACATTTCTTCTGTGGCTTTCAGCTTTGTCAAAGATGACTTGAAAGTATTTGCCTGGGTTTATTTCTGCGTTTCCTCTTCTGTACTATTGATCTATGTGTCTGTGTTTCTGCAGCAACACACACTTTGCTTGTTTTCTCTTTCCAATAAATTGATGCCATCAGCTTTGTTCTTGCTCAAGATTGTTTTTGTTAGAGGGGGTCTTTTGGTTCCATACATTTCAAGGTTCCCTTTTCATTTCCTTGTAAAATACCATTGGAGTTATCATCAGGATTAGATTTAACCTGTAGATAGCTTTGTGTACGATAGTTATCTTCACGATATTTCCCTTTCAACTTCATGAACATAGGATGTCTTTCAACTTATTTGTGTGTTTTTCCATTCCTTTCATCACCGTATTATAGTACTCACTGTACAGATGTTTCACCTTTTGGTTGAATTTATTTGTGAGTATTTTATTTTGTTCATGCTATTGTAAATTTGACTACCTTCTTCGTTTTTCTATCAAAGAATTTATTGTTAGTGTGTAGAAATGGAACTAATGTTTGTATGTTTACTTTGCATCCTGTAACTTTTCTGAATTTAATTCTTTATTTTTATTTTCTCTTCATCCATGTAGTGTGAATATTTTTTCCGTTGATTTTCTTTTAGAGAGAGAGAGAGAGAGAGAAACATCGATTGGTCGCCTTCCACATGTGCTCCTACTGGTAGCGGTATCAGACCTGCAACCCAGGTACCTGGGAATCTAACCCATGACCCTCCAGTGCACAGTCCGGCACTCTCACCACTGAGCACGTGGCCCAGGGCTATTTATTCATACTTTAAATTATTTTTAAAACATTTTTTTTGTTGATTTTAGAGAGGAAGAGGAGGCGAGAGATTGAAACATCAGTGATGAGAGATAGTCTTTAATGGGTTGCCTCCTGCATGATGCACACTGGTGACTGAGCCCGCAACCTGTGCATGTGCCCGGACAAGAAATTGAATTGTGACCTCCTAGTTCATGGGTTAATATTCAATCACTGAGCCATATTAGCCATCCTTCATTTATTGATTTTAGAGACAGGAAGGGAGACAGAGAAAGAGGGAGACGGAAACATTGATCTGCTGTTCTACCCATCTAAGTGTTCATTGGCTGTCCCCTGCATGTCCTCTGATGGGGGATCAAACCCATAACCGTGGTGCATCGGGACCACACACTCACCAACTGAGCTGTCTGGCCGGGTCTCTGAATTTGTTTATTAATTTCAGAAGCTCATCTGGGATCTTGACAAATTTCTCTATGGAGGGTCATGTCATCTGCTAACATCAACATCTCTTATGATGCTTTGTGGTTCATAGCGATGTCTTATCTGTCATTTCTTTTCAATTTATTTGAGGCTTGGTTTTTGTTTTGTTTTGTTTTTCCGGTTGTATAGCTAAAGTTTTTCCAATTTTGTATCTTTAAAAAAAAAAAAATACCTGTTAGGTATTCTTGTATTTTGTCTTGTCTCCCTTTTATTTATGTTTATTCTAATATTGATTGTTTCTTTCCTGTGCATCCTTTGGGTTTACTTTCTAGTTGTGTTTCTAGTTTTCTGAGAAGCCAGTATTTTTGGAGATCATTTTTCCTAATGTAGGCGTTTATCCCTATAAAATTGCCTCTTGGAATTGCATTTTCTGAATTTTATACATGAGCTTTGGTAGGTAGTCTTTTCATTTAATTTGTCTCTAGATTTTTTGAGTTCTCCTTTTTGTTTGGCTACCCTGGACTCTTTATTTATTTATTTATTTATTATCGGTTTCAGATAGAGAGGAGGAGATGGAGATGGAGAGAGAGAGGGAAGGAGGGAGGAGAGACTGAGAGAAACATCATTATGAGGGAGAAACATCAATCGGTTGTCTACACACGTCTTACCTGGAAATGGAACCTACATGCTGATATGTGCCCTGACTTGGAATCGAATCCAAAATCCCTAGGGTGATAGGGTCACAGGACGATGCTCCAACCAACTGAGCCACACTGGCCAGGGTATTCTGTGGGTATTTTAAAAAAACATATTTTTATTGATTTCAGAGAGGAAGGGAGAGGGTGAGATAGAAACTTTAATGATGGGAGAGAATCATTGATCGGCTGCCTCCTGCACGCCCCCTACTGGGGATCGAGCCCAAAACCCAGGCATGTGCCCTTAACCGCAGTTGTACCTGGGACCCTTCAGTCTGCAGGCCTATGCTCTATCCACTGAGCCAAACCGGCTAGGGCCATTCTGTGGTTCTTAAAAACAAAATTTCCAGTATTTTTCAAATAACAGGCCACTATTGTCAATGATAGCAGAAGCACAATAGTTGATGGAGGTAAATCTGACCCTTGTTTTTGACTGTAGCTGTCTGCAAATATGTTTGTTCACCCAGCCTTTTCCAGTCATCCTTTCTGTACAGTTCTCCTTTATTTGTGTCTGTAATACTGTTTGTCTTCGTGGTACTCTTATTCCCATTTCCTGTGGGTTTATGTTCATGGATAGCTGTCTGTCTTACACTGGGATGGGGAAAGATGCTCATATCTCTGATTCTGCCCTCTTGCTGATGTCACTCCCGTAGCTCTTTTGCCTGTGATCTCATCTGTGCTTCCCTGTTGTACCACAGTGTTAACCATCGATCTTTTCAGTGTTTCTTTTACGATTTCTATCATTTATCCTGTGCAATGGCTCAACTGGGAATTAAGCAGAAGAATCATTTCTGCATCACAGTAGAAACATGACTTTATGAATGACACAGTGGATCAACAGGCTGCCTTGCCTGAGTAAAGGGCTGTTGGGGAGGTTTTTACACCTGGGCTTTGTTACATTCATAACTAGGAACCCATTTGGTTCAACGGTGTTTTGTTACCATTGCCCATTCCTCAACCAATTCTACTTGTCCTTGCTTTTTGTTGACACTGTGCCAATGACTCAGTTTTAATAGTGATCAGTGCTCATTCTCCTTGGATTCCCAGTCCATGGATAACTTAAGCTCTCTAAACTTTTCACCTCTACCTCTTTCACAGGTCTCTTTTTAGTGCCCTCCACCGTTGGTCCATGCCTGCAGAGCCTTAGAGTGCACACCTATTACTGTATTGAGGTAGAACATCATGTGCTCTAATACAATTGATTTTTATGGGTTTGAGCAGATTCAAATTATTCTACACAGACTCACGTCACCAGCATGAAAGTTCCTAACAGAAGCCATTTCTGGAGGAACAACTAGCAGACCCTTCCTCTCCTCTTTGCGTCTCATCCTGTGTTTCTGTCCCTTTCTTGGTGAGATTTTCATCATCCACCGACCTTTGGGGCCAAGAAAAGTATAACAGCTATTTCCTCAGAGTATAACTCACTTGTCTTGAAAATCTTTCTATGGAATCATGTCCAGTCATGACAGGTAAACATCTCTGGTTAAGATACTGTTTTCATAAGGTCAACATGTACCTCACCAGCGTTTCATTTTGTTCAGGTTGCTGCTGTGGAGCAGAGAATGTGGAGGCAGCGACTGAGAAGAACATTTCTGTAAGAGTGTCACAGGCAAGGAATCCCAAGTTAGCCTTGTCTTCCCGGAAGAGCCACCCCTGTGAGAGTTGTGGACTAGTCTTGGGAAACATTTTCCACGTGATGGAGGGGCAGGGAACACAACACGGACAGATACTGTTGAGGTGTGGGGCGTGTGCAAAACGGTTTTACTTCAGTGTAAAATTTCACCAGCAGCATGTGAGAGAGAAGACTTTCATTAGAGGTGTGGACAGGATCTCTCTTGCAAACAGCTGCAATTTCAATGTGTCCCAGAATCGTTTCACTTGCGGGGAGGTTGGGCAGGGTGTCCGGACCGAATCAGGACATCTCCACCTAAAGGCTCCTCAGACCAGGGACAGTCCAAATGCTATTTCAACGCCAGGGATGACGTTTCAAAGGAGAAAAAATTATTTCAGCAGAAAAGAATGTAAGAAAGACATTAATTGCACCTACACCTTTATTCAGGAAAAGGGTGTACATGCTGGAAGTCAGTGTTTTGTGTGCTCTGAATGTGGGAAAGCTTTTACCAGTAGAAATGGCCTCCATTATCACCTGAGTGTTCACAGTGGAGAAAGGCCTTATGAATGCAATGACTGTGGGAAATCTTTTCCCAGAAGCACTGACCTTCGTCGTCATCAGAGAGTTCACACTGGAGAAAGGCCTTATAAATGCAGTGAGTGTGGGAAATCTTTTACCACTAGCAGTGACCTTCATTGTCATCAGAGAATTCACACTGGAGAAAAGCCTTATACGTGCAGTGAATGTGGAAAATCTTTTAGCAGTAGCACTGCCCTTCATTGTCATCAGAGAATTCACACTGGAGAAAAGCCTTATCAATGCAGTGAATGTGAGAAACATTTTACCTGGAGCATTACCCTGCGTCGTCATCAGAGAGTTCATACAGGAGAAAAGCCTTGTAAATGAAGTGAATGTGAGAAATCTTTTTCAAGAAGCAATGGTCTCCAATATCATCAGAGAGTTCACATTGGAGAAAGCCATTATGAGTGTAATTAATGTGAGTTCTTTTGCAGCCAAATTTCTAAATTTGCTCTGCACAAAAGAGCCCAAATGTGAGAAATTTCTTAGATGTATAGGAAATGTAGTTTCTTAGTTAGGACTTAACAATAGAATAAGAATATTTGTGAAGTCTCATTTGTCTGAATTATATCTCATACATTTAATCACCTACATTATGTAGCATCCCCCAACTCTTTTTGTTGTTGTGTTTGTTAGTATTTGTGTTGGTATCATATGTATCTATGTTGTACTTTCTAACATACAGAGAGGTGTTGCCAGGTCTATGTCACTGCATATTTCTGTTGCTGAAGGTATTTCACCTGAACCACCTATAAGGTCCCTACAGATGGCATCAATCACCATCCTCATGTGCCCAGGGAAGCTAACTCTTTGTCTAATTTGTTGAAGAAAATGAGGAATACCTGAGCCCTTAGTTCTTACTTGTTTTCTGTTATGAGTTGCCACATAGGATTCATTACTGTTGGCCCCAGGAAACATAATGTTGCAGAGGGACTGCCATTTTCAGGGACATGCTTTCCCTGAATGCCAGTGATTAATTTATTGAGTGCCTAAGTCATCAATGGAAGAACTGCCAGTCTCATGTCTCTTTGGTTTTTGAAATAATGAAGGCTTTTCCGTAAGATTCCTTTAATGTTGGGTGTTCTATTGACTCTATGGGTTAGTTTATAAGGAGATCTGGGCTCTCCAAGCATGATGAGGTGAAAAACTTATATGAGGTCTCAAACATTTTTGCCCTTTGGGGAAGACTGTGATGCAGAAATTAACTCAGTAGTTTTTTCTAAATTTACATTCTTGCCCATATTTTCCTAGGAAACACTGTGGAGTCTCTAGTCCTCATGTGAAGATGGATGCTTTGAGACTCAGAGATCACTCCAAAGAGGGGGCAGCTGTGACAATCTCAAGTATGTTTGGGAGCAGTGTGAATTTTTTTCTTTTGTTCAAGGGATACTAAGACAATAGAAGGGAACCTCCTCCCTGGTCTTGCAGGGGGCCATGTGCCCTGATGCCTTCAATTCCATGGGTGATGGTCACTGGTTGGAGGACCATTGCAGTGAGAGGAAACCCTTTCACTGCAGAAACACTGACCTAGTTGTTGGATGAGACTGCAGCCCATCAAGTGGAATGGTCCTCATCTAACTGTGCATCCAGGAATGTTTCTGAGGAAAAGACTATAGGAGTGGTATGTACACAGATCTGAGGGACTCGAGGCATGTTTATCTTCTGTAGAGCAATCAATGTCATTGAATATAATCGAGGTTTTGTGGCTTCCTGTCACCTCCTATATGTTCCCATCAGAGCCATTGGTGTGCTGGCAGCAAAACCAAGACAAACACAAAGGGTGTCTTTAGTCCAGGGATGTCGCTTTTGTGAAGTATAGTGTTTCATAAATCTTAACATGTGCGTGAAACTGAAACCATCATTTATACACATAATCCTGACCATATCTGTCACTGTGAACTTGCTTCATGACCTCTCTTAATCTCTCCCTGTTCTTTACAGCTTTCCTAGTAACCATGGATTTACATTCCTTTTTAATAGATTACATTTTCTAAATATATTTCTGCTTTAATTTATGTTTCATCCACACTTGGAGATTTATTAAAGATATATTAGTAACTCATCTTTTTTTTTTCTGAGAAACAATCGTATATTTGAATTTATCACCAACAGTTTATCCATTTTTTATAAATATTTATTTAATAAAGCTGATACAAACATTTCTGTATAAATCTTTATAGCATACAGATTCCCAGTGCACGTATTCATGCACCAGTGGGGTGCCTCAGCCTGGCCTGTGGAGTCAGGCTGAAACCAGCTCACCGATATCCCCCAGGGGTCCTGGATTGCTACAGGGCGCATGCCAGGCCACAGGACCCCACCAGTGCATGATCGGAGCCGGGGAGGGACACAGAAGGTTGGCTAGCCAGCGAGGGACCTGGGGAGGGCTTCAGGGCTTATCTGGCCTGTCTTGCTCAGTCCGGATCGGCTGGACCAGCTAAAAGCTTACCTACCTGTAGGAGTGTCTGCCCCCTGGTGGTCAGTGCACATCATAGCGAGCGATTGAGCAGCCTTAGCATATCATTAGCATATTACACTTTGATTGGTTGAATGGCTGACTAGACACTTAGCATTTTAGGCTTTTATTATATAGGATAAGTGTTATTGACTTTTGTCAGATATTTGTATAATCTGAGTTGTTGGGTGAATGTTTACATTTACAGAGATTAGCAAATTGTCTAAACTGCATATACTACCCAGGCTGGTGTGGCTCAGTGCTTGGGCATCTTCCCATACACCACAGGGTTATGGATTTGATTGTCGGTGGGGATATGTGCCTGGGTTATGGGTTAGATCCACGGAAGTGGGTGTGCAGGGGGCGGCTGGCCCATATGGCACTCTTCCATCAATGTTTCTCTCCCTCTCCCTTCTCTCCCTAAAAATTAGTAAACTCTTCTTTAAGAATAAAAAATAAGCATTAACTGATTGTACGTTTTTGCATTTCTACAGCAGTCTGTGAGGGATACACATTCACATTCTAGAGAATCTTTTGTTTGGTCAATCATTCTTTAGGTAAACAATTTTTTTTGGTAACTTTGTCCTGCTACCTCACTGTTTGGTTGTATTTTTTCTAGAAATTTGTGGTGAGTCTTTTGTCTGATGTGTATTTGCTGTGTCTGTATCTTTATTAAAACTGCTGATCATATGTTCTGCCTAATGTGCTATTATTTTTGGCAAATTTTCTTTAACAAAAACACATTGGAACGACAAAGGTGGATGTTGGAATTTCACTCATTTTGTTCTATTTTTGATTTAGGAAATAATTTTTTTATATTGGAATGATATGATTTAATATTTTTTACCTTTTAAAAAAATATAGCTGTAGACATTTTGGATCAGTGAATAGAGCATTGGCCTGCAGACTGAAGGGCCCTAGTTTAATACTGGTCAAGGGCACATGCCCGAATTGTGGGCTTCTTCCCCAGTAGGGTGCGTACAGGAGGGAGCCGATTAATGATTCTCTCTCATCTTTGATGTTTCTATCTCTCTCTCCCTCTCCCTTCTGTGAAGTCAATAAAAACATATTTTAGCCCTAGCTGGTTTGGCTCAGTGGATAGAGTATCAGCCTGTGGACTGAAGGGCCCCAAGTTTGATTCCAGTCACAAGTATACACCTGGGTTGCCGACTCGGTCCCCAGTAGGGCGTGTTCAGAAGGCAGCCAATCAATGATTCTCTTCATTGATGTTTCTCTCCCTCTCCCTTTGTCTCTGAAATAAATAAAAAGATATTTTTAAAAATAAAAACATTTTAAATAAAAAATGTTTTTTATTGATTTTACAGAAAGAGGAGTGAGAGAGAGAGACATAGAAACATGAGTGCAGCCTTGACTGGTTTGGCTCAGTGGATAGAGCGTCAGCCTGTGGACTGAAAGGTCCCAGGTTCGATTCCAGTCAAGGGCATGTACCTTGGTTGCAGGCACATCCCCAGTGGGAGGTGTGCAGGAGGCAGCTGATCGATGTTTCTCTCTCATCGATGTTTCTAACTCTCTATCCCTCTCCCTTCCTCTCTGTAAAAAATCAATAAAATATATATAAAAAAAAAAGAAACATGAGTGCATTAACATCAATTGGCTGCCTCCTGCACGCCACTCCTGGGGATGGAGCCCTCAACCCAGGCACGTGCCCTCACTCCAAATCAAACGGGGGAGCTCTTTGTGCATGGTTCGATACTCAACCACCTAGCCTCACCATGGGAACATTTTTTGTTTGTTTTTAAATGCTATGCACAATGCAGTGAATATTTTACGTTTTAATGCACAGTACTAACGTTCTCTG